TCGTTCAATGTACAGCAAGCCGTGCATTATCCCTTATGTATTCGCTCTTTAGCAGCAGTTTTTTACAGCAATATTTAAATGACACCCTGGTCATTCTTGGTATACCCAAAATGGTCCCACACTATCGACAAGCATATGGTGGAAATAAAGCTTAGCTGTTTGGTCCCTCTGTCAGTTCATCTAATGCATGTAGTAGCCTCCGTGCCTGTGATACGCACGTCATTTTAAGTTGGTGCACCGCTAGTATAACTTTTTTCGTTTTGCGCAAGCTGCAACAGTTCCGTTCCGTGTAACAGAAACACTCGGTTTAGCGGAACCTTTACGATTAATTAACCGTGACGTTTTAAAGCGCGGTTAATAGCGAAACCGGTGCATTCCTAGTGTATTTTTGTATCTCCTTATTTTTGAGTGAACTTTCCTTTTAAGGCACTGTTTCTACTTGATCTGACCCCTTAAATACTGTCATTGGTGTAACAATTAAGAAAGACTTAAGTAATATTTTCAACTTGAATACAACCAATGAATTTATATAGCCTATTACCCCACTAAAGTACATTTTTTAGGTTACATGACAATATTTAATTAGGTTAATCACAAATTGTTTATAATAGACGTGAATAGGATGATTAATCAACATGTAATCCAAAATCCACAATCCAAAACAATTTAATAGTTTTCACTTCATCACCTAAATAATATTAAAAACTGCAGCTTTCTGACTTCTTTGTAAACGGACATGCTGCCTTTGAGGTTCATGTCAAATAGTCTAAGTAGACTAGAGAGTAATGAGAGAGACTGAACCCACTCCGCCACACCAGAATGTGACTCAGCATGATATTAGTCTAATTGAAAAACGCTCACATGAGATCACTATACAGGTGCATCTCAATAAATTAGACTGTCGTGGAAAAGTTCATTTATTTCAGTAATTCAACTCAAATTGTGAAACTCGTGTATTAAATAAATTCAGTGCACACAGACTGAAGTTGTTTAGGAAGTGACATGTTTAACACAGTTATGGACTCCTAGCAACATAATAAAAAGCGTCAGGAAGTGTTACATAGGCTGGCAACATGCTATTAACATGAAAAAACATGCTAGCAACACGTAGCTAAGTGTTAAAGCATGCTATTAATGCAGTGAAAGAGGAAGTTTCTGTAACTCAGGCATGCAGTGTCCAATCTGCCCCAAATTTAACAATTTTGATAAGAGTCCTGTCCTGAACACATCTACGTGCCCGTTTTCGGTTATAGTCATAGCGCCACCTGCTGGCAACAGGAAGTGACATGCTTAACACTGTTATGGAGTCCAAGTAACATTTAAAAATTCATCAGCAACTGTTACATAGGCTGGCAATATGCTAGAAACATACTAAAAAATGCTAGCAACACTTAGCTAAGTGCTAAAGCATGCTATTAATGCAGTGAAAGAGGAAGTTTCTGTAACTCAGGCATGCAGTGTCCAATCTGCCCCAAATTTAACAATTTTGATAAGAGTCCTGTCCTGAACACATCTACGTGCCCGTTTTCGGTTATAGTCATAGCGCCACCTGCTGGCAACAGGAAGTGACATGCTTAACACTGTTATGGAGTCCAAGTAACATTTAAAAATTCATCAGCAACTGTTACATAGGCTGGCAATATGCTAGAAACATACTAAAAAATGCTAGCAACACTTAGCTAAGTGCTAAAGCATGCTATTAATGCAGTGAAAGAGGAAGTTTCTGTAACTCAGGCATGCAGTGTCCAATCTGCCCCAAATTTAACAATTTTGATAAGAGTCCTGTCCTGAACACATCTACGTGCCCGTTTTCGGTTATAGTCATAGCGCCACCTGCTGGCAACAGGAAGTGACATGTTTAACACAGTTATGGACTCCTAGCAACATAATAAAAAGCGTCAGGAAGTGTTACATAGGCTGGCAACATGCTATTAACATGAAAAAACATGCTAGCAACACGTAGCTAAGTGTTAAAGCATGCTATTAATGCAGTGAAAGAGGAAGTTTCTGTAACTCAGGCATGCAGTGTCCAATCTGCCCGAAACTTAACTTGTTTGATGACTGTCCTGGCCTGAACACATCTACATGCAAAGATTCAGTTTTAGTCATAGCGCCACCTAATGGCAACAGGAAGTGACATGTTTAACACAGTTATGGACTCCTAGCAACATAATAAAAAGCGTCAGGAAGTGTTACATAGGCTGGCAACATGCTATTAACATGAAAAAACATGCTAGCAACACGTAGCTAAGTGTTAAAGCATGCTATTAATGCAGTGAAAGAGGAAGTTTCTGTAACTCAGGCATGCAGTGTCCAATCTGCCCCAAACTTCAGACGTTTGATAAGAGTCCTGCCCTGAACACATCTACTTGCCCGAATTCAGTTATAGACATAGCGCCACCTGCTGGCAACAGGAAGTGACATGTTTAACACAGTTATGGACTCCTAGCAACATAATAAAAAGCGTCAGGAAGTGTTACATAGGCTGGCAACATGCTATTAACATGAAAAAACATGCTAGCAACACGTAGCTAAGTGTTAAAGCATGCTATTAATGCAGTGAAAGAGGAAGTTACTGTAACTCAGGCATGCAGTGTCCAATCTGCCCCAAACTTCAGACGTTTGATAAGAGTCCTGCCCTGAACACATCTACTTGCCCGAATTCGGTTATAGTCATAGCGCCACCTGCTGGCAACAGGAAGTGACATGTTTAACACAGTTATGGACTCCTAGCAACATAATAAAAAGCGTCAGGAAGTGTTACATAGGCTGGCAACATGCTATTAACATGAAAAAACATGCTAGCAACACGTAGCTAAGTGTTAAAGCATGCTATTAATGCAGTGAAACAGGAAGTTTACATAACTCAGGCATGCAGTGTCCAATCTGCCCGAAACTTAACTTGTTTGATGACTGTCCTGGCCTGAACACATCTACATGCAAAGATTCAGTTTTAGTCATAGCGCCACCTAATGGCAACAGGAAGTGACATGTTTAACACTGTGCTGCACAATTAGCTACACAGTAAAATATGCCATTGTGTGCTAAACATAATAGAAATGTGCTCAAACATGCTAGCAACACTTAGCTAAGTGCTAAAGCATGCTATTAACACCATCAAACAGGAAGTTGTTGTAACTCATGCATACAATGTCCAATCTGCCTCAAACTTCACATGTTTGATAGGTGTTAAGTCCTGAACAAATACCCATGCACAAATTCAGTTATACTAATAGCGCCACCTGCTGGCAACAGGAAGTGACACGTGTAACACTGTGATGCACTATTAGCAACACAGTAAAAATATGGCTTTGTGTGCTAAACATGCTAGAAATATGCTCAAACATGCTAGCAAGACTTACTAAGTGCTAAAGCATGGAATTAATACCATGAAAGAGGAAATTGTTGTAACTCATGCCCACAATGCTCAATCTGGCGCAAACTTCACACGTTTTATGAGAGTCCTGGCCTGAACACATCTAAAAGCCAATATTCAGTTATAATTATAGCGCCGCCTGCTGGCAAAAGGAAATTACTTGTTTCACAGTAACTTAAACATGCAATGTCTGATCTGCCCTAAACTTCCAATGTTTGATAAGAGTCCTGGCCTGAAAACATGTACATGCCAATATTCAGTTATAATCATAGCGCCACCTACTGGCAACAGGAAATTACTTGTTTTACACTAACTTAAACATACAATGTCCGATCTGCCCCAAACTTCACGTTTGATAAAGAGTCCTGGCCAGAACACATCTTAAAGCCAATATTCAAAAATAATCATAGCGCCACCTGCTGGCAACTGGAATTGACTTTGTTTACACTAACTTAAACATGCAATGTCCAATCTGCAGCAAACATCACATGTTTAGTAACAATCCTGGCCTGAAGACATCTACACATCAATATTCAGTAATAATTATAGCGCCACCTGCTGGCAACAGGAAATGACTTTGTTTGCACTAACTCAAACATACCATGTTCTATCTGCACCAGACTTCACATGTTTGATAAAAGTCTTGGCCTGAAGACATCTATATGCCAACGTCCAGTTATAATCATAGCGCCACCAGCTGGCAGCAGGAAGTTTGGCGCATATAAATGACTTTGACATATTCCTCTTATATTTACCACTTTAAATGCATATTGCCCACTCTTTGCTCTTTTCCAAAAGCCACCGGGTGGCGGTGAGCCCGGGTGCGAGGGCCCTTTCATCGCTGCTTGCAGCTTTAATCTGTTATTGTAATCCTAGGAAGCGTACTGACATTTAGCCAGTTGTGCAATTCTTTTGTTGCTGCTGGGCCGAGTATCTCTCTAGATCCGTAGCTAACCATGCATGATCCTTTTATGGTGAGGTCATATAGACACAGTCTTCCTCTTTGATCTGAACATTGACATATTGAACATTTTTCAATTTATTGTTTAACCTCGTCATAAGTCACCACTGAAATCATATTTTTGCTTGTCATGCCTGTCATCGCTTCATGCCATTTCTTTATAGATACAACAGAAATTATACTCATAGTTGCTATGGTGATAGGCAGCTAAGATTTACAGCCTTCCCGAAAGTAGGTGTAATTTAATTTCCAATTGAGAATGGTCTAAATCAATATTTCTCTGCTCATATATAGTAATGGAGCTACTAAAGTAATATCCTCTCTTTTTTCAGAAATGCTGCACATAGATGAAGGATAATATATTTTACTGTAAATTCAGTGTATATTACATTTTTAGTGCATTGATCAATATGTATCAGTCAATTAGTAAGCAGTTTTTCATGTGTAATTATTATAATGTATATATTTAATAACAATATAACGATAATACATTATAAATATAAAAATAATAACAATAACAATAGTAAACCAATAATTTATATTATATTATATTTTATTAAATATTATATTAAATATAATATAATATAATAGATAAATATATAGATATTCCAGTTTTCTGTTTGTTGAAATCGGTGTCGTCATGTTTCATTTCTCTCTTTGCAGGTGTGAGCAGTGACCTGGACTTTTAAAGGAGTGCTTTCAGCACACACGCAGAGGCACCATGGCAGGGGCCTCGGTGAAGGTGGTGGTGAGAGTCCGTCCCTTTAACTCTCGTGAGACCAGTAAAGAGTCCAAGTGCATCATCCAGATGTCAGGAAACACAACCAGTAAGATACCCAACTGCACCTGACATCCAGCAGTTAAATCACTAAGAATACTCAAAACACTCAAGTTTAGAGAGCATGACTTTTATTGTGTCTTAATGTTGTTTTCACATGCGTGTGTTGTGTGTTTATGGGCCCTGTCTGAGTGTTTGACCTCATTGCATGGATTTCATAAGGGCAGCCATTTTGAGATGATGTGGGACAATAGTTAACTGATCAGTGAATTGGGGGTGAATAAACTCACCAAATCTAATCCTACATTAATTTCATAGTCGGCCATTAATCTAATGTGGCTACAGAAGTTGAGAGTTATTAAAACAGAGAAAAAAATAGAGGGATGTTGCAATGAACTTACTTTATGACAACTGACAAGCAGCAATGTCAACAAGCACTACTGCTGTAATTACTAGTGATTTTGGTTTGCTGTTTTTGACAGTTGTCATGCAACCACTTGTTTAGCTGGTAGGGTGTGTGGTCATTTTCAAAGGAACTAATGAGGAGACATCATTTTCTTTGTAAAGGATGTTGTGTTGTAAAGGATCATAATATCAAGACATCTTAAATGGTTAGATGAGGTAGAAGATATGTGTGTGTGTGTGTGTGTGTGTGTATGCTTGCATGGTCTCCAATTAAAAACATTGTTATATCCTAAATGGTCACAAGAGGGGACCATATTCTGTTGTTGGGTAAACAAGTGAGAACAATAAAACTACATAGAGCCAAGGGTCAACTATATAATGAAAGTAGATTATTTAACTGAAAGGTACAACTATGCTCTTAGGACAAGAGTATTTATCATAATTGTCAGCTTGGGGCAAGGTGTCAATGTGTTTTACATGTTGCAGTTTTATATAATTTACATAAGTTTTGATTTTGAGTAGTATTACAGTTTAAAATAACAGTTTTAGATTTTTATATTATATTATATTATATTATATTATATTATATTATAGAGTTGACATACCATATATAGCTTGAAAACATGTTCTACAGGATTTTGGCAAAAGGTCAGTGAGTGTTTAATAGGCCTGTCACGATAACAACTTTTTGTTGTGCGATATATTGCCCCAGAAATAATTGCGATAAGTGATATTATTGTCATTTTAAAGACCATTTTATGCCACTGAATATATAATCATAATGTAACAGCATAGTAATGCAAGAAGTCCTACACACTTCCAAATGACAACAAACTATAGAATATTTAGATCATGGAAATTAAAGGGATAGTTCACCCAAGAATGAAAATTTGATGTTTATCTGCTTACCCCC